ATTACCTGACCATTGCAATAATCATTCCCAACAATGTGGTTGCCCTACTTATTGTCCTAGGCCTCTAATACGCAAGCTGGCCACTGGCCTAGTCTTACTATAGAAGCCTGAATCATAAAAATCCCAACATCTATCTATCTATCTATCTATCTATCTATCTATCTATCTATCTATCTATCTATCTATCTATCTATCTATCATCTATCTATCTATCTATCTATCTATCTATCTATCTATCTATCTATCTATCTATCTATCTATCTATCATCTCTATCCACCTCTATTATCTCTTTCATCTCTCATTATCTATCCATCTCATCTGTCTCTGTCTCTCATTCTCTCTCTCTCTCTCTCATTCTCTATCTCTACCTCTCTAGTTATCTATCCACCTCTATCATCTCTATCATCTATCATTATCTCTCCATGTCTCTCATCTCTTTGTCTCTATCTCTCATTCTCTCTCTTTCTCTCTCTCATTCCCTCTATAATCTCTCTCTATATCTCTATCTCTATGTATTATCTATCTATCTATCTATCTATCTATCTATCTATCTATCTATCTATCTATCTATCTATCTATCTATCTATCTATCTATCTATCTATCTATCTCATCATCTCTAGCTATCATCTCTCTCTCTGTGTATCTATCATCTCTGTGTGTATCTATCATTTCTCTCTGTCATTCTCTAGCTATCATCTCTCATCTCTCTCTCTCTCTCACACACACACAAACACACACATCTCTCTCTCTCTCTCTCTCTCTCTCTCTCTCTCTCTCTCTCTCTCTCTCTCTCTCTCTCTCTCTCTCTCTCTCGTCAACAGCTGTACTGTATAACTGCCCTAACGCTCTCTCCCTCTCTTCCAACCTCGCAGGAGAGGACACCGAATTCCGGCTGATCCTGGTCGGGAAATCCGGAGGCGGGAAGAGCGCCACGGGCAACACCATCCTCGGCCGGAGGGAGTTCGAGTCTGTCTTGGGAGTGAAGACCACCACCCTGAAGTGCCAAAGGGGGGAGGGAAGGTGGCGGGGCAGGAAGATCTACGTGGTCGACACGCCGGGCATGTTTGATTCCGAAAACTACGATGAGATTGTGCGGCGCGAGGTCATCTCTTGCATCGACTTCTCCCGGCCCGGCCCCCACGCCCTGATCTTGGTGACCCAGGTGGGGCGCTTCACCGCGGAAGACGCGGCCGCCGCCAAGTGCGTCTGGGATATCTTTGGGCCCGAGTCCTCCCGGCACACCATCGTCCTCTTCACCTGCAAGGAGGATCTGGAAGGGGACCCCCTGCAGGAGTACGTCGCGGAATCCGACAACCGCAACCTGCGGGGCCTGATCCGGCGGTGCGGGAAGCGCTTCTGCGGCTTCAACAACAAGGCCGCAGGAACCGAGCGGGAGACGCAGGTCTCGGAGCTGATGGAGACGGTGGAGAGGACCGTTTACGAGAACGGGGCGAGATACTACATCAACCGGCTGTACAGGGACCCCAACTTGACGGAATGGCTCGTCAAAACGTTCCTGGCGGAGAACCGGGCGGCCCGCAAAAAAGCCGAGAATGTCTTGGTGTGGAGAGAAAACGTGCTCATCGGGACGATTGTCACTTTGTCCGTACTGGCCTTTATCTATTTCTTAGTCGAGTTTCTTTAGTTCTTCCGTCGTTCGAAATCTTCGGGATGGATCTTTTGGTCTGAAGGTGGGAGGGGGGGGCTGTCTGTGTTCATATCGATTGGCGGGACCCTTCCCCAACCTTTTGGACAACAACAGGGACCCGTTCCGCGGAGAGAGGATTTTCCCGCGGACCGAAGGCGCCGTGGTTTCGTGTGCCGCTTGCATCCCGTGGACTGGCTTCTGGCACGCCGTGGACCGGTGCGGGTCCACAGCCCGGGGGTTGGGGACCCCTGATGTAGATGACCAGGCTGAGCCCGTGGGAGGGGTCAAGGGTGTTATCAGTCTCGAGTCCCTTCACGCCCATGAGAGATCGGTCCAGCCGACCGTCAATTCCCTTGGCTTTTATCTACCGCTAATTTAGTGCTGACTGTTAGTTGACCAGATTCTATTCACCGGAATAATAAATCGTATGTGCTGTAACTTAACATATGGTCTCAATCCTTTGCACCATGTTGTAACTGACCATACGGTCTTGATCCCTTGGACCAGGTTGTAACTTACCACACGGTCTCGATCCTTTGCATCATGTTGTAACTTATCACACGGTCTCAATCCCTTGGACCAGGTTGTAACTTACCACACGGTCTCGATCCTTTGCACCATGTTGTAACTCACCACACGGTCTCGATCCCTTGGACCAGGTTGTAACTTACCACACGGTCTCGATCCTTTGCACCATGTTGTAACTTACCACACAGTCGCGATCCCTTGGGCCATGTTTTTAACTTACCACACAGTCGCGATCCCTTGGACCTTGTTGTAACTTACCACACGGTCTCGATCCCTTGGACCATGTTTTTAACTTACCACACGGTCTCGATCCCTTGGACCATGTTTTTAACTTACCACACGGTCTCGATCCCTTGGACCATGTTGTAACTTACCACACGGTCTCGATCCGTTGGACTATGTTGTAACTCACCACACGGTCTCGATCCCTTGGACCAGGTTGTAACTTACCACACAGTCTCAATCCTTTC